TAGATAGGTAGATAGATAGATAGATAGATAGATAGATAGATAGATAGATAGATAGATAGATAGATAGATAGATAGATAGATAGATAGATAGATAGATAGATAGATGGATGGATGGATGGATGGATGGATGGATGGATGGATGGATGGATGTTTTTTGTGAATGTTATGGATTTAACATTAAATACTTTAGTCTGCTATTCAATCATTGTGCTTTTTCTAATGACACTTTGCTGTTTAGTTCACTACAATAATCCACCGACTCACTGTATTATCTTGAGAAATGTTGTAAACCTGAAACCTTCACACAAAAAAATCGATTATTTTATTTTGTGCCAGTGTTTGGTTTCATAACATGTTAGAGAGTGTAAAGTGTAGCTAGGTTACTGAGAGGACGGTGTGTTGTATAATGCAGCTATGCGAGAAATCTCCTCCCTTTATGCCCATTGTATATAAAAGTGCAGGCACTCGTGTCATGCTCTTCACAATCTGTCTGATGCAAACAATTCTTTCCAGGCCGCTGCTGGATTTAAATTCCAATCAAGTGACACCGCTGACAGAAAACTGCTTCATTTCACAAGTTTAAATGGGCAGCACCGCTTGCCTTTCTTCAGCTCAGGCAGCTCTCAGTTGGCAGTGGCAACATGATCCGAATATTTACACTGAAGCAGCTTTCTCTTCTTTATGTGTGTGTGTGTGTGTATGGAGTAAACTCAGGCTGCTTTATCTGTGGTATTCATACACAACCTTGAGAGAGATAAAAGACCATTAATAAAGCTCCAGACAGGAAGAGTGTGCATTTTACGCTTTTTCTAAACTAAACACAGGTGCATCAGTGTTAACATCATCTCACTGCATTGCTCTGAAATTGTTGCACTATTAAAGTTTTTTTTAGTTCAGCATAGACGATGGCATATAGTGATTTGCAAGACATAAAAATTAATTGCTCAGGAGATTGATAAATATGTTATATTATATAAAAAGTAATTTTTTGTTGTTGTTTTTAATTGTATACTCTCATGGTTTTCTTGTCACTAGTCACAAATTCACCAAATAATCTATTTCAATTCTAATGTTGTAAGTATGTTGTATAATTTGTATGTAAGAAGCTTTCATGTTCAAAAGAACAGCATTAACTAGAAATAGATGATAAATACACTGTGCATTACATTTTATGTTATATAATACATTACAGTTCATATATATATATACAACATTATGAATGTTATAGTTTTTACATTTGACCAATTAAAAATGTCAATATTAAAGGTGTTGTATGTTTTTGACTCTTTTAAAGCATAAAAATGACATAATATGTTTGCAGATATTTAAGAAACATTCTAAATAAAACATACTTATTTATCTGAAAAACAGTGCTGAAGTCAGATATTCTGCTTTGAAAATGTGAGTTACGTGCCGGAACGCTGTCTTTAACCCGCCCAATGCCAGTTTTGCCAATAATCTCTCAGCACCCAGGGTTGCCTTGTTGGAAAATCAAGTGTTTTATTAATTCATTCAGAAAGGGTCTCAAAGCATGCGCTTATGACCGAAATGCAATCTCCGGTGGACAGTAGCAGAATCTGAAATGAGATGCAAATTAAAAGTTCCACATAAGTTTATTGCTTATCAAATAATATAAATATTACCAGCGTAAACATTAGGTGAGCAGGTGACATTGTAACTATGTCCGAACAACAATCAATGTGGTGAGATTTGCTGTGATAAACAATTGGGCTGTTTGCACAAGACAGAACACGACAGAAATTTAAATACAGTCATTCAGAAGCACAGAATATGCACTCACTGACAAAATAGTAAGGTTTTGTAAGAAACTAAGTCTGCCTCGACCCAACTTCTACTTTATTTCACAAGTCTTCCATGCTCCTTTCTTAACAAAGAGCTTAATTATCACAGAGAGGAGAGTTCCTAAAGTAAAACATTTAAACATTTAAATAATGTCTTTGGAATGATAATTTACTTCTTATAGCGTGGGAGCGGCAGCGAGCCATCAAGAACCATCTGCTGACCAAAAGGAATTTTGTTTAAACTCATTTATCATAACAGTTGGTATTCTCACCTGAAAGTCTACTCAAGGTCTGGGAACGGAAGAGTATCACTTTTATTGTTTTAATAAAGCTTATTAACATGTTAAGCGGGTATACCGAAAGGTCTGGGATTGCTATTCTTAATTTACATTTGAAGTGAAAGCTTATTAACATGTTAAGCGGGAAGAAACAGTATAAGATGTTTAAACAGAGGATGATCGGGATTTAATTCCAACTCCGATGAATCCGAAGTGTTGTCTCCCCTTTGACACTACTTTTCTGGAATAAAACTTTTTTTTTCTTCAAGACGTTCTCATCTATTTTCTTACAGTTTCTAATCTAATTAATACATATTAAACCTCTTTAACTATTAAATGTACATGCTGAATCACTGTGTGTTGGTTCTTAGCTTCAATTTCGAACAGTTTATTATTATTGAGTGATTATTATTAATATCTGAGGGGAACCATCTGCTGCTGCTTTTAGTAGTATGACAAATAAATGGAGAGAGGTGTGGATGCAGACCTGGTGCAGTGCAATCTGAGCTGCATCCAATGATTTTTAATGCGCTCACCTAACCCCACCCCTAACCCTACCCGTCACAGTGACGTCACTCACTCCATTGAGTGCATTGTGTCTGACATTGCATCCCTGAGTGATGCAATCTCAGCATGCATCATAAAGGCTGCATCCAGATACTACTGAATAAATGTCATGTAAAATGGCATTCAAATTCACTTTGTTAGCATTTAACACTAAATGAAGCACATGAGGTGTACCTGAGGTGATCATTGTCAGTTTTCTGTTGTTCATCTGTGAGCAGGCCCGAATTGGCTAATCGAGAGGACCGAAAGAATTCCCGGTGGGCCGGTCAGTTTTTTTGGCTGTTGACCCGAGTTCGAACCACACCTGAGTTTTTGTGTGACCACCATTACAAAGGACTGAATATCTATAAAGAATTTTGCACAGAATATATATTCAGATAATGCAGGAGAGGACATTGTGATGTTTTAAAGAACAATGTTGGGGATTTACCTACCCTTTAATGTTCTCGTATTTATGAAAAACATTCGAAGTTCTAAAGCAGCTTTGTCTTTGAAAAAGACATAATAGTGTCATTAGAAACTGAACTGGCAATAATGTTATTTTAATATAGTCAGTCGTGAACTGAGGTGGGCTTGAAAAATCTAGGGCTGAAAAGGAGTCCCACTCCAGCCCTGCCTGTGAGAAATAGAAGCTGTTTCTAATATATAATTCGTGGAGTTGGTTTAAACAAAAACTTAATTTTAATATGTAAAATATTCCTTCTATCGTGTGCCGTTGCTTTTATGTAGAACAATTTAAATCAGCCTTTAGGCTCGATCGTCAGACTCACTCCTGTTGGTCCTCAATCTGGCAACCTGTGCATGCATTTATTTTGATCCAGGGATGCAATATCTAGTTCAACCACTGGGTGACAAACTTACATACCACACATTTAATTTCAAAACAAACTTTTGAATAGTACCGCACATAAAAATATAATATAAATCATGAAAAAAATGAACAGTAGTAAACCAGTTGTGAAATATTATGACAAATAAGACATTTTATTTATTCATGTGAAACCGAGTTACAATCTTTTAGGATCTTGAAAAGTGTAAAGTTCATAAGAGCAGCATTAACTCAAAATGATAATCTTTTGTAACATTATGAATGTTAAAGTTAAGCCTGTTCCACACCGCAAGCTTGAGCAGCACGTGTTTTTTTCGGCATCCATGTTAACAGATTAGAGCTCTCATAATGCATGCAGAAGCAGCGCGTCAGCAAGAGGTGTGAGCGTTGCTGTAGCAGCACTGCCGCGATAGGTTTGGTCTATTTTTGCCGCGCTGCTGACACTCAATTAAAGTGACAGTGCTTTAATAATGACCAATAACACATTGAATGACAGTAAAAAGTAGCAATTTTAGCCAATAAAAGCATCGATGAGATCCACAGATTTTGATACATTCAATCAAATGAACTTAAACAATTAAAAACAGCAACAAATATTTATTTTTAGTGAAATTTGGTTTAACTACAAACCAAATTTAAAACAATTTTAGTATCAGTTTTGCTTAGTATAAGTTGCACACTAGATGGATCATGTATAAATATCATAAAAACTATACTGTATGAATATTATTATAACTATAGGCCTACATCATCCTGACAATCAAAAACAAAATGACATGATACCACAAGCGATTGTCTTCTGACCGAGTGCACCTTAATATACATGAATGACACTCCTCGTAGAGTGGGAGAAGCAAACAGTTCTTTAGGAATTATATCATTCTTTCAATAAAGAAAGCAGGTTAAGGAAACAGCATAGGAGGAAGTTGCCACGGGCCTTGGTGCAGATGAAAAGTTTTTTTTTTTAAGTGCATTTATATAGCTAGATAGGTAACTAGATTGAATAGACAGAGATAGATTGATCTATGCAAAAGCTGCGGCTGATGCAGCTGGCGTGAAAGGCAAATGTCTGTGCTCTGTTTCTGCCCTCTATACACGCTGTGCACATGCTGCTCGAGTTTACAGTGTGAAACAGGTGTCACATTTGACAAATTGTTGCTGAATAAATGTATAAATGTATTACTTAGCAACCTTCTCTTCACTTTTTATTTCCAACAACAATAAAGCACTTTTTAAAACTATAATAATACAAACTTTTCTTCTCTCAGCAGCAATATTGCTTTTAACTATATACATTTCATGATTTTTTTCCACCTGAAATTTGACGTTAATCACAGAAGAGGTGCTTTCAACTACTTATAATCTGAATTTTAATTCCTAAAACCTTTGCTTTGCACTTATCAAATAAACTGTGAATGCGTTTTATTCAGAAACTTACGCATCATTAGAAGCCCTGTTTTTTCCTCTCAGCAGAAGATAATGGGTGTAATGTTCTCAGTCGGTCTCAGATGTGGACAGTGTAGCCGTTCCACTGGCTGCAACACAAGACACGAGCGGGAGTGAGAGACAGCTCCCATGTCCTGTGTTGCAGCCCCTGGCCCAGCCACAGGTCACCTTCGTCTCTGCCTCTTCTGCTGCTGCTGAACTGCGGAGACAGAAAGAGACACAGATGGAGTGTAAGGGGTTCGTTCGGACGATACCTTTAAAAATAGCAATGAGCACATTATTCCACAAAGGGATATACATAATTATATATATATATATATATATATATATATATATATATATATATATATATATATATATATATATATATATATATATATTGTATATATACTGTATATATATATATATATATATACACATAATTATTAGCCCCCTTTTGATTTTGATTTTCTTTTTTAAATATTTCCCAAATGATTTTTAACAGAGCAAGGAAATTTTCACAGTATGTCTGATAATATTTTTTTCTTCTGGAGAATGTCTTATCTGTTTTATTTCGGCTAGAATAAAAGTAGTTATTAATTTTTTAAAAAACATTTTTGGGACAAAATTATAAGCCCCTTTAAGCTTTTTTTTTTTTTGATAATCTACAGAACAAACCATCACTATACAATAACTTGACTAATTACCTAAACCTGCCTAGTTCACCTTATTAACCTAGTTAAGCCTTTAAATGTCACTTTAAGCTGTATAGAAGTGTCTTGAAAAATATCAAGAAAAATATTATTTACTGTCATCATGGCAAAGATAAATATTTAATAATTCTATTAAAGTAATAAAAATAAAATAGAATAGAATAAAATTAAAAATTTAATTTAATTTAATTTAATTTAATTTAAAAATAAAATTTAATAGAATAAAAATTCTATTAAAAGTAATAAAAAACACAAAAGTATCTACATTCTTCACTATAGTTTCACAACCTTTGTTACCATTTTTTTGACGCTGCTATGCACATCTAAAAATTAAGCAGATAGTTATTGCTCCTTAGTATAGACTCAAATATTGTTATATTGATATGTATCATTATCATTCTTGATGTGAATGGGTCTTAAAGGAGATGAACTGAAGGGGAGATATTTAGGATGGAGTGAGTATAGTATGTGAGAAGGGTACAAAGAATAAAAACGCTTCCATGCCTTGAACACCACATCCATCACAAACACTGAAAATAGCCTTCCTGTTTCATCTGGTACCGGACTGGCTCTACCCCTCACGCCGGGGGAACGCAGCCACTCTGGCCCAAATTGCTTAAAGTGAGGTTAATGACATCGTAAGGCACCTTCCAGCAAAGACAGAGAGTCTCACGAGAGCCTTCCTCAGATATCGAACAAAGTCAGAGCACAGCATTTCCATTTTTATCACAGGTATGTAAATCCCACTGGTAGCTGAGACAGAAGGGCTGGTGACAAAAACGCACGACTATCAAGCTGCATAAAATAACGGACACAAGTAACAAATCTAGCTATCATGTTGGTTTACATACTGTGGTATTAAGTATTATGAAGCATGACGTACTTTCTTTTATATATTTTTATATTGAGCATTAACTCGATCAGAAATTAAGTACACTCAAAAAATTGTTTTGCTCCATATTTAAAATGAGCTGAAACAACACAATTCTTTAGATTTTTTCAACATAAGCTCATTCTGAAAACGTAGCACTATATACATTTCTGGAGATCGCAAATTATGTAGCCAGCGGTAAGTATGGCTGTATTTCATCTTTAAAATGAACGCTATGGTGCAGTATGATGCCGTTCCTTTTTCGCGCTTACCAGCTGATTGCTTACCTCCGTATGGATGGCTTTCTCGCTGTAACTAGATTATCCAGTTAGTTTTAATCTGGCAAAGAATGGTTCCAGAAAGCAGGTAAAACAAAAACAGAAGCTAAAAAATTAAATAAACAAGTAAATAACAGGGTGAGAATGTGGTAAAATCTGAAAACTGTGGTAAAAATCAGCCAAAGGCTTTTCTTTTTCGGGACTGATTTTTAAAACTGTCGGTTGGGTTTAAGGAAGTGGGTGAGCGGGTCAGTCTGTGCTCTTAAAAACACTATTGGTTGGGTTTATGCAGGGGTGGATTGGCCATCTGGCAAGAAGGCCAGAAGGGCTGGACCATTTTTTTAATGTTGGCCGGTCAGTTTCTTTTTAATATATATTTTTTTGTATCTATTGTTTTTTCATGCAGGCAGCTTTTATCTCTTGCAAGATGTGTATATTATGATGATGATGATGATGATGATAATTGTAATAATAATAATAAATGTTGAGCATTTGGCCCAATCGGCAACGGTCAACTGGTTTTAAGATGGGCTGACACAATCTGACCTAATCAGAGGTTTTGTAGACGTAATTAAAATCTGGCAAGAATGTCAAACAAACAATAAGTGCAACACAAGCTAATTGTCAGAGATGGACCGTAAAAAAGGAAAGGCTGTGCTGAAAAGCTTAGCAAAAAAAAAAAAAGGCTCTAAAATCAAACGCTGCAAAATGCATAAAATTAAATGAAATATTCTTGATAGGGAGCAATGCAGTGGCGCAGTGGGTAGTGATGACATCTCACAGCAAAAAGATCGCTGGTTTGAGCCTCGGCTGGGTCAGTTGGCATTTCTGTGTGGAGTTTGCATGTTCTCCCCATGTTTGCATGGGGTTCCTCCAGGTTCTCCGGTTTCCTCCACAAGTCCAAAGACATGTGCTATAAGGGAATTGATTAACTATGTAGGCCATAGTGTATGTGTGTGTGTTTCCTAAAACATAGGCTGAATAAGTTGGCGGTTCAGTTCGCTGTGGCGACCCCAGATTAATAAAGGGTCTAAGCCAAAAAGAAAATTAATGAATATGTATAAATTTGTCATAAATGGGTTGTTTTTGTTTCAGTCACATACATTAAATGTTTAAATATTTATTACAAATGGTACTGCTTATATTATTTCACCATCTGTACAGCAATATAAGTAGTGAATGTGCGTGTTTGAGGCTGGGGCTGTGTTGGTGTGGTAATGTGGGCTGGTGTGGCTTCAGTGCCAGGGCTGACTTGGGAAGGAGGAAGGGAAGTCAGTCAATCAGTCAGTCGACAGCGGCCTCTGTTGGATTTACGCGAGAATAGCAGGCTCGAATGGCACTTGCAAGATAATTTTGAGATCCCAAAAAGTATACACAGCGGCCTCTGGTGAGTTCGCAAAAACTACAAAAAACATAGCTCCTGGCACGTATTTGGCGTATATCAGTACGCTTTTATGAATAAGCCTGGGTTACATTTTTTAGGGACAACTTGATTTTTTTATCTTCAATCCACTTAAACTTAAGTAAGTTAACTTAATCGATTTGTGCTGGGACAAGTATTAGTGTAGAATTAACGTTGGTGTAATAGTGTAGAATCCTTACAGTGTATAGTGGCAAAAATAGTGACAAATCAGTCATTGGTGTGACCTCATTAAAGTGAAAATGTACACAAACATGAATAAAACTTTCAGTGTATAGTTAGTAACTAATTCACCAAAACATACATTAGATTTGAATTGGTATGAAATTGTGTTGGGAAAACTAATAACATAAAATGAATCATACATAATAAAATAACAATGAACATCTTAGGTAAAATATTAGATTTAGTTTTTTTGTCAAGTTTATTTATTTTTTTTCTTTTTACTGGCAGTTTTTTAAATATATATTTGTTAACAGTTAGTTGAATAGTTTTATGGTTTAGTTAATGATAAGACATGTAAATTAGTAAATAATGATAGATCATTTTAGGTAAGGGCATGCCATTTTCCCTGGACAATCCCGTGTTAATAAATCTGGCCCTAGATGCAGTATATCATATATTATACTCTGAAAAATCTGAACACCCTATTATAAACTTTGGTTGAACAACTATCCATTCTGTTCTATTGCCTTTTTATTCCATGCAATATCTTTATATCTCTCTCCCATTAAAGTGAAAGACGGTAATCAGTGAAATCTCGCAGTTCCTAGTGTGAAAGTGGGTCCAACCTACTTCTGAAACTGCAGGGAGACGAACTACGTGATGCTTTTGCAGTCGGTCCAAGGACGACCTGGCAAGGTGATCTGAAAGAAGAGCCGGCAGGAAAAACGTACGTGCCGACAAACTGGTGAAATTCAGCCTGGACCTGATCAGATAATACAGACCAGAGAGAGTCAGGATGTGTTCTGAATGAGGTCGGGCATTGTAGAGACAAAAAGTACTAAAACGAAAATAATAACCCTATTGAATACAGAAAAAGAAGGAAAAAACATAGCCATAGATGGTTGTGTAAAGATAGTTTAACATTTATGGAGCTTTCCATTGTTCAAAAGGTTCATGTGGTGGATTCTTTAGATTATTAAAATGTTCATTACACTAAGAAACAAAGTAGTTCTGTACTCGAAAAATTAATTTTGTAGCTTGTTCAAACTACTTATTTAAAATGAGATGAAACAACAATTCTAAAGTTGTTTTTGAGACAACCTGATTGTTTTTTTTGTTGTTGTTGTTGAATGCACTTAAACTTGTAAAAACGATAAAGTTAACTTACTCGATTTGTGTTGGGACGAATGGAGGAATTGTATGGAACTCTGTATACCAGCACTGTTGCCTTACAGCAAGAACGCCCCAATCACATGGGGCGCCAGCGTCAACGTTTCCCATTAACTTTGAAGGGTAGGCCCGGATTGGCTAATCGGGAGGACCAGGGGAATTCCCGGTGGGCTGGTCCGTTTTTTGGCCGCGAGGGCCGGTGTCCCTACTCTCAGCAATCGCTATTTTTTCATCTATTTATTTATCATTTTGCCCCGTGAGCAAAATGCAGCCTGCAGGTTAACTAACGTTAATGATGATGTAACGTTAACTATCATTCGACCTCAAACAGCGGCACCTTAGTGAATATAAGAATTCGAATAATTAATATTAATAATACACCTGCTAAATGAAAATCAGATGATTCACTACATTAATAAATCTGACATAACTTGATCAGAAATCTAAAAAGGGGAGAAAAAGATTAAGCCATCAATAGAAAGTAATACCATGATTATAATAGTGCTATTGTGGACCAGTGGTAAGCAAGTTATTTTTTAACTCCGCCGACCCGTGTTCGAATCTCACCTAC